AAGTGCAAGTGGGGCCTCTGGGCCGGCAGTGTTATTATTTGGCCGCCCCAACGCCGACTTGTTTCACCGAACTCAACCGTGCAGGGTGTCGAAAAGCTCCACCCTAACGGCCCATTGAAGCGGACGAGGGTTCCCCCAAAGTTGACAGGTGAAGGCGGAAAAAACCGAAAAACAAAATACCGCTGGATGTAGGGGAAAAAAAAACCATCAACGTAGAACATCTCTGCAAGGAAACCCTAATTCGCGAAACACACTTCCTAATTCGCTGTATGTCGCTAAGGCACTGGACTCCACAAATCGCGACGTAGTACGAAGCTGCGAAATGTGCAAGTCTCAAGAGTCAAAAGGCTCAGATTCGACCGGGCATGCTATGTTTTTCTTTACCCTACTTTTGGGCAGTTAGAGATAGGGAAACCGCTTGATTAGACTACCCCTAAATAGCCCATTGGTCTGGCAGTGAAGCGATTTAGTTGAAAAGCAACTTTGGCAATGGTCCGACAATGGTCTGGTGTTTTACCAGGGAGGGGCTGTAATCATTAGGCGGGAGTTACTGTTCTTGCGCGCTGTGGTGTCAAAGTACCTCGTCAAGATTCCCGCCAACTTTTAGCAGATGGGCGGGAAACCGTGGAGATCGCAGGTGGGTCGTTCGCGCTGGCGGGAATTATGCACCATCGCATGAGGTCGCAAACCGTTTCCCGCCCAAGGAACAAGGTCACCTCAATGTTTTCTGGCATGGGTCACCCTCGCTATCGAACAAGGCCCATATGTCAGGGAAGCAAGCATGAAGCGAGTTGTCGACGGTCACGCTTGTAACGAACATTTGGCGGACATTTTCAGGTGCATGCAAATTAGTCTGGAAGAGCTTCTCAGGTGCATGCTATCCCGTCGTGTTTCTCCCTCTGCTACCACTATTTGTACACATTCGCCGCTAAAAACACTGTTCTATCAGGGGATGCAATCCGTGCAACACAAGCAGCAGACGCAACACACGCAACACACACAATCGGCCTGGCAGGGAAGCCCGAAACGAAAAAAATACAACTCCTAAGGAACCTGGACATTGTTCGGGAGCGATCAACCCTAAACACGGGAACCGTCCTGGTGTTTAGGGTTGATGTCTCGTCAGGCAGTGGAAAGAAAAATAATAATAACTAGGGAAACTGGACTCACTTTTCGGAAGAGATCAACCCTAAACACAGGAGCCGCCCTGGGTTTTATTTTTTTGCCTGTTTTTTGTCAGGTTTGTTGCGATATGTATTGACCTTGTTCTGAGTAAGGCTGCGACTGGTGTGGTTGGACGACGAGTTCGTGCGAGAGCTGCGCCAGTTGGTCTCAGTCGTATGGGTAGCATCCCCTGACAGAACAGTGATTTTCGTGGCGGAGGTGTACAAACAGTAACAACAGAGGTATAAAAACGACGGGATAGTATGCACCTGAACAAAACTTCCCGACTGATTTGCATGCACCTGAAAATGGCTGAACATTTGGTGCTCTTCTGCCACCGACATCTTCTGGTTCAGGTGGTTGCATCAGGAGTGCGTTTCGATTGCTCCATCGTTACTAGCCCTGTCTGAGAAAATGGTCGGAGCCTGCCAATGAAACAGCATCAATGGGACTACTGGTCAACTCTGTGCACACCTCCACCAACCAGCCCTCCACAACGGGCTGACGTTGCTGACACAAAGGTTGCGCGGCCCGTGAAACTGAACACTCATTCGTGACCGCAATTGCATTAGCTGACGTGGAGCTGAACACCGTTTCTTTCCAGTTCCAAGAGCATTTCGCGGCTCGGAAGGGGCAGTCTGACATGGCGCGAAGTGCGCTTCAATTCCCTACATGCACCACCCTCAGAATGCATGGGTGAAGCAAGGATACGATATGGTCCTGCACTTTCTCGTACGGTTTCAATCGGCGGATTGCTTGATCCGCCACCAGCCCACATGTGAAGCATATGTTCTTCTAAGGGCGTGTATGGTCTTCGAAATTTGTGAAACAAAATATGTTTTTGGTCGATCTTAGAGAAACGAACTTATGTCGAACGAAATTCGACTTCCCTTTTATTGAAGTTCGAACATCAGGTCTACAACACAGTAAAAAGGCACACACACACATACAAGGTCGAACCCAGACATCGAACTTGAAAAAAACGCGCCGAGCCGCACGTCTACAGTTTAGGTTACCCGGCTCGTGATAGTTTAGGTTACCCGCACGAATCTGGCCACGTGGCTACCACTCATTGCACCGAATCGTGGAGTAACTTCGTTGTGCCATTTCAGCCACTCGCGAAACGGTCGCCCGTTGCGTATGTGTTTCGTTCGTGCTACAAATCACACACGCTCGAATCAACATTCGCACGCACGTTCACGACTCCAACTCGAGTCAATTCAAAATTCGAACTCGAACTTTTACTTGCCCCATAATATATTGGTTTCGCACAAAAAAATTCGCCGAAACTGGCGCAACAAGTAGCCACCTAAAGTTCGAACTTTTTTCGAGCTTGTAAACAGATCACACACGCCCTGAACCACCCCCAGTGTGCTCTGCAGAAGCTCATCCCCCTGTTGTTCCCGAATCCCCGTCATTGCACCAATCAACCAACCATCGGAAACACCATGCCTTCATGCACAGGAAGCAGACGAAGCAGGAGATGAATGTGGTTCTCACAACTCCTGATGAACCAGGATCACCCTCAGTAATCATAGACTTGCAGACACGCGCTGAGTAAGTTAATCGAGAAACACCCCCGAGCGTTTAACGAGCCCCCGACTCCGTTTTCACTCGTCCTTAGAAACTAGAACTTCCATGCAAATAAACTATAACGCAGCACAGCTGATAACGGTAACGCTTCAGACTCCTTATCGTAACATCCGAGGCGCCTTGGAAACGTTTTTACCCGGCAGCAATGGAGACGCAAAGGCTCAACGGTCCGGTGGTGCTCCTCGCGGTGTTGCTGCTCGGCGCCCTCGTCGCGACACGCGCTCAGTACTCTCCGGCGAACGCGCTGAAACAAATCGAGGCTGCTCTTAAGAGGAAGAAAATGACGACGACGATTACGTACATGAGGGAATGCCGTGAGTGTTGCACGTGGCGAATGCCAAGGTGCCTCATGATGCGGTGTGACGCAATCGTGTGCAACGTGTAGAGAATATCCTGAATGCTGGCATGACATGTTGGGTTGTCCGCTCTTAGTGCGCGAGCCTCATTACGCTGAACGAAGGGTTTCCAAAACTCGCCAGGTCGCAGCCTGATGTAACATATCGTCAATATGTAAAAGGCATTTCCAGCCAGCTTCTTTAAGCCGCCAGTTGTGATAATTCAGTATGTTCTTTTCGTTCGGTAGTACCTTTCATTCCCTTACTTCCACTTTAGCTACTTTCATGCCTATTTTACCGTCACACCTTAATCCTAGTTCTTGTGATGTTTACTGTGTTCGTGTTTCAGGATTCAACGACACTCTAGTAGAGAAGCTGCCTACATCGCACGCGACGCTGCTCCTGCCGATGAACACAGGGTGGAACAAGCTCAGCGCGTACACGCGCAACCTGATTCGCAAGGACCCCGCGAAGATGTGGCAGGTGTTCGCGTACCACATGCTGGCGGGCCGTTACATGTACAAGCAGCTCGTGAAAATTCCCTACAACACACTGGTGAGTGTTTATGGTAGACATGAATGCATTTCTGTCAAAACTCTAATCCGCCTCGACCTCCCCTTTGAACCATCTCATGTCTAGAAGATAATACCGTATCTTCTCGTTTGGCCTGCGCGCTCTCTCGGTCAATACCCCCTGACCTCCAAACCCTCCCCTCCCTCTTCCCCCACACCTCCCCACTCTCCCCTCCACCTCCGTGCTTTTCCATCCGCCCTGTGGTGCAGATTGTGACTGGCCATGGGGGCTTCAAGGTCAGGCGGTTCCCAACAAAGCTCGCTCAATTTGGAAAACCGGGCACGCATGGTGGCGCATATGTCAAGGTGAACAATGTGTATCAAGACCCCCACTTGGCAATCCATGGGGTCAACAACGTTATGATTCCCACATTCACTGAATAGCTCCATCTGCAATCTCGGTCACCAAACTGATAATGCACGTTTTGTATTGCTGTATAAATTATGTTATGGGTAGTTATCTCGTTTGCTGGTTTCCACCCAGTGTAATAAAGCCCACGCTATACCAGTGATTTCCCTAGGCCCCAGCTGGGGGTCTGCTGCTGCTGATCCCCTTTCTGTTTTGATTTTTGTACAACTTTTGCGGAGCATGATGCACCAAACTTTTGCGGAAAGCTGAAACTGGAGAGATGGTCACAAAAGGTCCTCGGGGAAGCCTTTTGTTCCATTGGCTGCATTCAGGCAAGCGTTTCGGTAGTTTAAAACTATGAACAGTAAAAAATAGCACACCAGTTAGTGCAAAAAAACCACACAACCATGGGAAAGCAGGCAGCCAAATTCTTCTGCCAAGAAACCCCCATACAGTGGGCCAGCACAGATATCCACAGTCAGCACCAGTCATACTACAGATATCCACATCCAGCACCACTCATGCTACAGATATCCACAGCCAGCACCAGTCATGCTACAGATATCCACAGCCAGCACCACTCATGCTACAGATATCCACAGCCAGCACCACTCATGCTACAGATACCACAGCCAGCACAACTCATGCTACAGATACCCACTGCCAGCACCACTCATGCTACTGATACCTACAGCCAGCACCACTCATGCTACATATACCCACAGCCAGCACCACTCACGCTACCAACATCCACAGCCAGCACCACTCACACTACAGATATCCACAGCCAGCACGACTCACGCTACAGATATCCTCAGCCAGCACCACTCACGCTACAGATATCCACAGCCTTCAATACACGATATGCAAGCAAGCATGGCACTTATGAAATGCGGCACCAACATATAGAGCAGCAACTTATTACCTCAAACTATGTAAGATGTAAAACTACCGGTAGTACACCAGTAAAAATAGTCTTAAAACGCTTTACTTGAACTTGGGCGGCATGATAACGGTGTCTACACCGTGGACTATCACTTGCGCATCCATGTAGAGTGTCCAATCAACGATCGACCCATTGCTGGTGGAGGTTCCGATCATGATTTTTTTGCCAGCGGATTTGAGCTTCGTTTGGAGGTAATTGTAGTCACCCGTACCGAACTGTAACACCATCACCAGAAGAAAGCAACACCGCAGACACATGAGTTACCTTTGGTCTGCCCCACCAGCAGCGTCTGAAATAATTTCATTAGTGACGAAAAATATCAAAAGCGAAGCGGAAAGGGAGACAGCAAATAGATAGCCTACCGTTTTGCCCACAGGGTAACCCTGCATGGCTTTCTTCGTGTGGAGGTCGCCGAGCATGTTGAACGCAGCGATCTGGAATCCCGTGCGCGCATTCTTTTTTATCGACGCCCAGTTGCTTAGCTTGCCGAACGCCTTGGTCTGCCCCACCAGCAGCGTCACCTTGTACTTGGGCAGAATTGAGACGAGCGTGTCGTTGAATTCTGCAGGCGGAAAATGAGGAAAGGGGAGGGGGGTGGGGAGGAAGGCGTGAAGAGGAGAGAGGAGCGGGAGGAAGACAGAGGGTAGGGGAGAAGAGAGTGTAGGGGAGGGGAGAAGGGAGTGGAGGGAAGGGAGAGAGAAGGGGAGAGAGAGAGGAGGATAGAGAGAGGAGGGGAGGGAAGGAGAGAAAGGGGTGAGGGAGAAATAGTGAGAGGAGCTCGTACGAAGAGAATATAAAATAGGAAACGAATGCAGCGTCACGTGTTACAGGGGCAGTGTTGTCATTGCGAAGGAATGAGTGACGATAGAGGCAGTTTTTGTTTGTGGGCATGTTGTGACTTTCACAACTGATTTGCGTTCATCTACAAGTGACCGGTTCGGTACAACAGGAGAGGGTGCGAAAGGCGGTAATTAGACAAGTTACGGATAACGAAACGACGGATAACGAAATGGCTATGAGGGAGCATGGATAAGACCCACATGACGCTACGTTTGCTGGGAAAACACGACAGAACACGACGCACCATGGCTCGTCACTCACAGAATCGATGCGTCGTTGCCTACTGTTGACTACTGCTTGCGAGCCGGAGGCAGTAACGATATTAGTGGGCGGTGAAATTATCCTCGCAAAAAGAGCCGCTTACGGATCCACCTAATATGAAAAACGGAAAGTTGCTGCGAGCTTTCGGCCGAACTTGACACATTACGTTTCCGGATCAGGGCTTTCGAGCGAGTAGTGAGTGGAACACAGAAGTAAACTATTAAAAGCCGGCAGCTAAGAAGCAACTCCACTCGAAACGACCTCTTGCCGAGCCGAGTGAAATACCGGCCTGTCGACCTGTCGACCTGTGCTGGTGTTGCTCTCGACCTGTCGTGACGCTCACTGCGTTTCTGCTTTTCAAAACGCCTTACAGGATACAAAGCGAGTGCAGGTCTTGCGTTAGACTTGGCGTGTCACTTACTGCTTGTCTTCATGAGCGTGATGACGGACTGGTAGTTTTTATTCTTCAGCGCGGTTTCAATCGCTTTCAAGCCCGCCACCGCGTTGTACGCCGCCGCCGCCGTTGACGCTAGCGAGACTAGCGCGATGGTTAGCAGTAGAAGTCGAACAGATCGGATCGCCATCTTGAAGTATGAAGAAGGAAGCAAGGAAGACTTGTTGAGTCGAAGCGAGAGCAGAAGGAATGATAACAAATGATAGAATGAGATGAATTCTAGCTGAGAGCGTAGAGGAGATACTTGGAGTGATGACACTAGCAATGAGGTCCCGGTCAGGCACTTTATTTTGCTAGGAGCGAGGAGCTCAGGCTGGGATCACGAAGCGCCAGCAAAATCGCTTCGGTTTTATTCGGTTCGGCTGGTTCTGAGAAGGTTTTTCCTGGTACCTGATTTATTTTTTGTGCGGGTGAGTGATTCTTGTCACCGAACTGATCACGTTGTACGCACCAGGCAGTGAGGCAAGGCAAGGCACGTTTGGCAAGGGAAGATGCCGCTTGGCCGCTTCAGCAGCACCGACGTGGGAGGAATGGGATGGGATGTCTGGCGATTCGCTGGAAGTGGTGGGGCTGTGGGAACAGGTGGCTCGGCCAGGTGACTCCTCTGTTAACCGTCCGTTTGTGCGATACATTTGGAAGAAACTGCATCAACGGCACAGATCTGGTGGTCCGTCTCGTGCGGCTCGACAGGTGGGCACTTGCCCTGGCTGGTTGCACGCACCCACTCGCGGGTTATGGGTTGTTACGCGCCGACAGGTACGGTGTTCCCCTCAGGGGAAAATGCGCGATGTCCGGGGCAGTCGGTTTGCCTGGGATCAAAACCTCAACAACCTCGGATCTTCTGGAAAAGTGCGGTCATGCGGAACCACGATACATTACATTAGCGGTGTAAGAAATTTTGCTAATTCCTCAGAGGGGCACTCCATACGCGTACAATTCCAACTTCCCGGAGTTTAGGCTTGGTCCGCCGACCTCCCTTCCGAACGTCCTTCGCATCACCTTCAACCCCAAACCTGCACCCAACCTTCGCGCGACTCCGCGACCTCGGCCTAGCTAGCTTCGCTATATTATGCCTAGGCCTCGTTGTTTGCTGAGTAGTTGTAATCACTTCCGCGATATTGCATTCTGCGCACCCTTCTTTCATGCAACTCATAACACTTGGTATCAAAGCTACTTTCCTATGTTACCCTCCACTTTCCGGGGTAGTTTGGTGCAGGGGTGCGATAGACTTGGTGGGCTGCAAAGCGGTCGGCTGAGAAAAAGATACGATTATCTCACTCCGACTAATAGCGTCTGCGCCTTCATCGAAGTCAAAAAAATCGTTGTTAACCCGCTGCCCGTTAGAAACCTGAGAAACATGGAACAGGCTGAGTTCAACGAGTTCATGCAACAGTTTCGGGCGATGCAAGCCAACTTGCATACCATGTCTGCAGATATGGAGCGCTTAAAGGTGGAAAACGTCGAGCTACGCCAGACGCGAGGTAAAGCGCGTCAGGAGTCGCCCGCCATGGATGAAACAGGTAGCAGCTTCACGCCTAACGACGATGTCCTTAGCAAGCTTCAGGGCTCGCTGGACGCTGAAGATGAGTGGGCGGCACGCCAGCAACAAGTACAAGGGACGCAGGAGCAACAGCCACAGCCGCAACAACAGGCACAAGCGGCGCAGAGGCAACAGTCGCAGACGACGCAACGACGGGCACCAGCGACAACTTCGGCGATGGCTTCAGTGCCGCCCCCGATGCATGCAGCAGCAACAGTCTCAACAACTGTCAATATAAAACCGACGAACCCACCCCCGTTCAACCCCAACGACAAAACCGTCACTAGGTCTGCATGGCTGTTCGGCGTAGAGGTGTTTTTTAATGCTGTGCAAATTGCTGATGATGTCACTCGTATTAATTTTGCAGTGTCACTGTTACGAGGACTGGCGTTGGAATAGTGGAAGCGGACTCTTCGGACAGAGGGGGCTCCGGCAGGGCTGTCACGTGCGAAGGACGGGACCTGGACTTCTGTCACGCAACGAGCAACTTCAATCTTCGGAGTGGCCACGATACGCACATGGACGGAGTGGGGCACCGCGCTGCGAGCCAGATTCGAGCATGTATCCGCCTCGGAAGCTGAAGCTGAAGCACGATTCTGCTCGCATGAAGCTGCGTACCTGGAAGCAGGTGGTGTCGGTCCAACACAACACAGCAACGTTCTGCAATTTGGCTGACCAGGTGGACGACATGAGCGATGCGGAGCGGCTCGACCGATATGTCGCGGGCCTCAAATATGAGGTACATTACGAGGTGCGACGGGCGAGGCCACACGATTTCCTCGATGCCGTCTAGGTGGCCGAATCAACGGACTCACTGATGCGGTGGGCGAGAATGAGTTCCCGGGAGGGCACCCAATTTCGTGGACCGCCGCGCCAGCCCACAATCAACGGTGTGGAGGCGCCAACGTGGACCTAACACGTGCTTCAATTGCCACCAACCGGGCCATTGGAGGAAAGACTGCCCGAAGCTAAAATAGGGAAACATGAACGAAGGAGAGGGGTCGGGAAAAGAGACGAGTCAGTAGCAGTCGTGTCAGAACATTATAGCTCATGCATATTGTGTAGGCTATAGTGGGGTAGCCCATAAGGGGTACAACCCAATTAGGGTTAGTACTTGTACCCAATTCATTCATAGTTCATTCATTCTCGCTTCAATTCTCACATGGTATCGAGCAGGTTCCCTCGTGGGAACTGTTCCTAGGGCCCACCAATTCGACAAATTTATTCTGCCCGGAGCGCGCTCAGCCCTAGCCCGAGTCGCGCTCCCCCCTTTTTTCTCGCCCCGTCACGCCGCCCTAGCGGCCCTGTCGCCTGCCTTGCGGCCCTCGCACCGCCCTTCCTGGCCCCGACCCGCCGCCCGGCGGCCTCGTCGCCTACCCCGCGGCCATCGCGCCGCCCTTACCCGGCCCCGATCCGCCGCCCTGCGGCCTCGTCGCCTACCCAGCGGCCCTCGCGCCGCCCTACGGCCCTGACGCCGCCCTTACCGGCCCCGGCGCCTACCTGCGGCCCCGACGCCTACCTGTGCGGCCCCGGCGCCTACCTGCTGGCCCCGCCACCTACCTGCGGCCCCGCCATCTACCAGCGGTCCCGCCACCTACCCGCAGCCTCGCCACCTACCTGTGCGGCCCCGCCACCTACCTGCGACCCCGCCACCTACCAGCGGCCCCGCCACCTACCCGCGGCCCCGCCACCTACCTGTGCGGCCCCGCCACCTACCTGCGGCCCCGCCATCTACCAGCGGCCTCGCCACCTACCCGCGGCCCCGCCACCTACCTGTGCGGCCCCGCCACCTACCTGCTGGCCCCGCCACCTACCTGCTGGCCCCGCCACCTACCTGCGGCCCCGCCACCTACCAGCGGCCCCGCCACCTACCTACGGCCCCGCCACCTACCCGCGGCCCCGCCACCTACCTGTGCGGCCCCGGCGCCTACCTGCGGCCCCGCCACCTACCTGCGGCCCCGCCATCTACCTGCGGCCCCGCCACCTACTAGCGGCCCCGCCACCTACCTGCGGCCCCGCCACCTACCTGTGCGGCCCCGCCGCCTCCTCTCAGCGGCCCCGCCGCCTCCTCCCAGCGGCCCCGGACGCCGCCCTCTCAGCGGCCCCGCCGAGCCGCCCAGCAGGCGAGCCGCCCAGCAGCCGAGCCGCCCAGCAGCCGAGCCGCCCAGCCGCCGAGCCGCCCAGCAGCCGAGCCGCCCAGTAGCCGAGCCGCCCAGCCGCCGAGCCGCCCAGCAGCCGAGCCGCCGAGCCGCCCAGCAGCCGAGCCGCCGAGCCGCCCAGCAGCCGAGCCGCCCGAGCTGCCCTGTCCGATAAGAGCAGCGCCTCTTTCACAGCACTGCCCTCACCCTACTGTTTGCACTGCTAGTCTACTGCTGTCATGGCTACCCCTAGTGTCCTCGCTTTTGACGCTGAGGGTCGGGCCATTGACTTTGACGTCTGGATAGATGACCTGCAGCTTTTCTTACAGTGCGATAGGGCAGACGGCCTCTCCCTCTTTGACCTCACTTCTGGTGCCTCTCCTGCCCCCGCTGCTGATGCTGACGCCACTGTTCGCTCACAGCGGGCCACGCGCGATGTTGCTGCACGTCTTGCTGTGCGTCGCCACCTGCCTACCTCTGAGCGTGCGCACTTTAGCCAGTACAAGAGTGCTCAGACCTTGTACGACGCTGTAGTTGCATGCTACTCCTCCCCTGCCACTGCTGCACTGAGCCGCCTCATGCTACCGTACCTCTTCCCTGACCTTGCTGCCTTTCCCACAGTCGCTGACCTCATTACGCACCTCCGCACTAGTGACACTCGCTACCGCGCTGCGCTTCCTGCTGAGTTCTGCGCCAAGAACTCCCCCCCCCCCCCATGTACATCACCCTCTACTACATAGTCACCCGTCTCCCTGACTCCCTTCGCGTAGTCAAGGACCACTTCCTCTCAGTTTGCCCCACCACTCTCACCATTGACCTCCTCGAGAAGGCCCTCCTAGCAGCAGAAAAGAGCATAGTAGCTGTAGGAGCCTCTCGTGGTGACCCTCGCACCCCCATCTTTGAGGGGTGTTCCCCCTCCCCTCTTTTGCCCTCTGTTGCCTCTGCTGCTGCGGCCGACCTCGTTGGTCTGGAGTCGGTCGGTGCGGCGTCTACCCCTAGTGGGAAGCGTCGCTCTGGCAAGGGCAAGGGGGGCAGGGGCGCTGGAGGAGCTATTGGGGGCGGTGGAGGCGGCGGTGGAGGCAGTGGAGGGGGTGGGGGTGGTGGTGGGAGTGGTGGCGGGGGTGGAGGTGTCGGCGGCCGCAGTGGAGGCGGAGGCGGCGGCGGCGGTGGCGGTGGGAGCGGAGGTGGTGGAGGTGGCGGAGGTGGAGGAGGCGGTGGCGGAGGAGGAGGAGGAGGAGGTCGTGGCTCTTCGCAGAGGAGTGGCTCCGGTGGTGGTCAGCGCCAGCAGCAGCAGCGCAGTCGGGAGACCCTGTCCCCTCAGCAGCTCCGTGAGTGGTAAGCTGCACGCCAGCGGGGTGGGGGTACTAGTCCGTGCACCTACGTCCTGCGCACCGACGACCGTGCGGGTGAGCAGTGTGGGGGTGCGCACCCCACCCAGCGCTGCTTTGGCCGCCTGACGGACGCTTGGCGTCACCAGTTCTCTGAGGCCACTGAGATCCCTCGCTGGGGCGAGCTGTCTAGGGCAGGGGTAGCTATCTTTGACCTTGACTTTGATGCTATTCTTGCTGCTATGTATACTGTGTCTATTAGTGAGGAGGGTGACTGTTACCGGTGTTTCCCGCCCGACCCGGGCATTGAGACTGCTGCTCTAGGTGCTGGTGAGGCTGCTGCTCTTGGTGCTAGCGAGGCTGTTGCTCTAGGTGCTAGTGCGTCTGCTTCCTCCGGTACTAGTGCGCTCTCAGGTACTGCGTCGGCTTCGGCCTCCCACACCTTCACACTTGACTAGGGGGCTTCTCGCTCCTTCTTTCGAGACCGCACCACACTCACGCCGCTTGGTCGGCCAGTTGCAGTCTCCCTGGCAGACCCCTCTGGGGGTCCTGTCCTTGCTCACTTCTCCACTGTCCTCCCTTGTCCGGCGGCCCCCTCTGGCACCCTGTCTGGTCTTTACCTCCCC